AAACTGCAGATGCTGGAAATCAGGAAAAACAGAAATTGCTGGAAAAGTTCAGCAGGTCTGGCAACATCTCTGGAGAGAAATCAGAGTTAAGGTTTCAGGTCCAGGGACCCATCCCCAGAACTGATGGTCGCTCGGAACATGTTTTTTATGCAGAAGATTGAGTCAGGGTGGAAGAGGGTAAGGAGTAATCCATAGGTGGTGATAGAGCCCAAACAGAGAGAGAATAGTTGGACAAAGGAGTGGATGAACAAAGAAGCTTGGAACATTGACATATTCAAAAATGGCGAAATGATCCACACTGTCGTTGCCAAAAGTAGTCTGCCTTGTTTGTTTGCCCTATCATCACATCTTTGTTTTCTTGGAGATTAGTATGGGGTGTTGGAAGAATTTTGCAGATTGTTTGAAAAAAAACAGACGTGCGCCAAATTTAACTTTTTGTCTTAAAACTTATTTGTGGGTGTCCAATGCAATCCATTTGGTGTAGGTACAGCCACAATGCTGTTCGGGAGGGAATGCTCCTGCTTGACCAAGGAGGGGTGGGCTTGAACCTAGGGCCTTCAGAGGCAAGAGTGTGACCAACTGAGCACAGGGGAAGATGGTTGTGGTTGTTGAACATCCATCATCATAGTCTGAGCACATCTCAGCACCCCTCAGTGTAGATATCTTCTAAATCAACCAGTTCTGTGATGTTATTATACATCTCTAGAGCAGGTAGGACTTGAACCCAGGCCTTTTCCCCAGAGGTAGGGATATTACAGCCACACTTAGAGAGCCTTAGCTCCTCAGGGGCTTTTTTTAAAAATTTACCTATTTTTCCCAAACAACCTGTTCCGAGATGTTATTATGTTTTTCTTTATTCATTGGATGAGGGCATCACTGGCTAGGCAGCATTTATTACCCATCCCTAATTGCCCAGATGACAGTTAAGAGTCAACCACATTGCTGTGGGTCTGGAGTCACATGTAGGCCAGATCAGGTAAGGATGGCAGATGCACAGTGGCTCAGTGGTTAGCACTGCTGTCTCACAGCACCAGGCACCTAGGTTCGATTTCCCCCTTAGGCAACTGTCTGTGTGGAGTTTGCACATTCTCCCCGTGTCTGTGTGGGTTTCCTCTGGGTGCTTCAGTTTCCTCCCACAATCCAAAGATGTGCAGGCTAGGTGGATTGGCCAGGCTAAATTGCCAGTGGTGTTCAGGGATGTGTAGATTAGGTGGGTTTGGGGGATGGGTCTCGGTGGGATGGGTCTCGGTGGGATGCTTTGAGGGTTGGTGTGGACTTGTTGGGCCGAAGGGCCCGTTTCCACACTGTAGGGATTCTTATATTAAAAAATTTCCTTCCCTGAAGGACATTAGTGAACCAGATAGGTTTTTCCCCAACAATTGACAATTGATTAACAGTCATCATTAGATTCTTAATTCCAGATATTTTATTCAGTTCAAAATTCCATCATTTGCCATGGCAGGATTTGAACCCAGGTCCCCAGAGCATTAGGGATAACAAGGTGTAGAGCTGGATGAACACAGCAGGCCAAGCAACATCAGAGGAGCAGGAAAGCTGACGTTTTGGGGTGGGTCTCTGGATTAACAATCCAGCAATAATACCACTAGGCCATCACCTCCCTATTACACAGCTCTACAGCAAGTGGGACTTGAACCCAGGTCTCCAACTCATCAGGGGAGTGTCCTGGGCCTAACCGTCATCAGCCACTTCACCAATCTTCCCTCCATATAAAAAGCCACTGTCCACAATTCTTTAGTAGAAAATCAGGCACCCTGTGGAGGCTAGCAAGTCCACATTTCTTAATCTAGTAAAGTGTACAGGGTACACATAATGGGACAGAGAGTACAGTATTACAGCAATGCAACAGAACTGTATAGAGTGCCTGCACTTGAATGAAAACAGGTAAAAGTTGAAAGCATGATGGGTGGGGAACAGTAAAGATGAGTCATAGACAGAAAGTAGAACGGAAAAGAAATCTGACTCCAGGTTAATGTTTGCATGCATTTCGTCTGGGGTTTCCAGGTTTCAGCTGAACATTTCCCCTACTTCCTACACCAAGCAGCAACAGAAGCAACAGTGCTTCAAACTAGTAACAATTTAACTGGAAAAGGATGACAAATTTCAAAACAACATCGTTTCTGCTACACAAATGCATGAATAGTCTTTGGTTGGAAGTTTAAAATGAAAAGCCATTGCCTTCAATTGATCAAGAACTAGGGGATCCAGATTGAAAATGATTTGCAAAAGTAGTAAATATGATGGAAGAAGAAACTTTCTCGCAGTGAGCAGTTCATGTCTGGAATGCACTGCCCGAAAGTGTGGTGGAGATGACTATATGGCATACAAGATGGTATCGGATTGTTATTTTAATAGAAATAAAGTGGAAGGTTACGTGGAAAAGGCATGAAAAACGGCACTATTTAAGACTCTGAGAGCCAGTACCAGTAGAGCAGGGCGAATAGTCTCTTTCTGCAGTGTGATTTAATACTGAATTTGGTGCCATCGTATTGCTGACAGTATCGTAGAAATTATTAGGTGTAACCAGGGCAAGGCATTGGCCCAGACCTCGGCATTGAGATCAGATTCAGAGCCTAAAACTTGCACTGCATCACCAACAGCAAGCTGACATAACAGGAGAGGGACAGTCTAATGGTATGATTGCTAGACTATTAATATTATTGAATATTACGAGGTAATGTTCTGGGGGTCCAGGTTCAAATCCTGCCAAGGCAGATGGTTGAATATGAATTCAATATTTAAAAAAAAATCTGGAGTTAAGAGTCTCAGATGACCATGAATCCATTGTCAGGAAAACCCCATCTGGTTCACTAACGTCCTTTAGGGAAGGAAACTGCCACCCTTACCTGGTCTGGCCTACATGTGACTCCAAACCCACAGCAATGTGGTTAACATAAGGCTAAGATGGCGGCAGAGTAAGATGCTCCAGTTGGAGCTCCTCTGCTCATCAGCTCCTTTTCTTCCTTTTTTTCCCTCTCTTCGCAGTATTTATTTTCTCCTCCCCTGACCCCACCCGACAACCTTTAGCTAACCCTACCTCAAGGGAGATGTGCCGCCAATGGAGACCGGGCAGCAGGTGAGCACATGGGCCAAGTCCTACAGCGGCAGCAGAATGAGTACGGGCCGAGGTCCCGGAGCAGGGGGCGGGGCGAGCGCGGGCAGGGTCCCGGAGCTGGGGGCGGGGGGGGCGCGGGCGGGGTCCCGGAGCGGGGAGCGGGGAGCCGGGCGAGTGCTGGCCAAGCGCGGGCTGGGTCCCGGAGCAGGGAGCGGGGCGAGCGCGGGCTGGGTCCCGGAGCAGGGAGCGGGGCAAGCGCGGGCCGAGCCCCGGAGCGGGGAGCAGAGTGAGTATGGGACAAGTCCCGGAGTGCGGAGCAGCGCGAGTGTGGGCCAGGATTTGGAGCAGAGCAAGTGTGGGCCGAGATTTGGAGCAGCAGCAGAGCAAGTTCTAGATGGAGGTCAGCACTTGGAGACAGCATTGCCTCATGTTGGGATGCCAGCGGGCACAGACTCATGTTGGAAAAAGACTAGAACTTTGAAAACGTCAGTACTTTATAGTCACTCTTATTATAATTCTGGACTGCTTATTCCCATGCTTACCTGTATTTTCGTTTATTCTCTAACAACACTGTCTGTATCCTGGGTACCCTATACCTAAGATGGTGCTGAGGGGCGACATTACAAACTTTTCACTGCACACATTGTCCATGTGACAATAAAGGCTGTTCTAAACATTCTAACTGCCTGTAATGCCCACATCCTGGGAACAAATATAACATACTAACATTTAGCACAATGCGCAACACGGCGTAAACTAGGGAAATAGCATCCTGTCAGAAAAAAGACTAATACGGTGGACAAAAAGAAACAAAAGAACTGCAGATGCTGGAAATCACAAACAAAACAGAAATTGCTGCCACATCTGCTGAGATTTTACAGCAACTGTGGAGAGAAATCAGGGGCCGACAATGGTGGTGCTGTTGTACTGATCTCTACATTGCAGAGGCTGAGCGCCAGGTCTCAGATACTTCCTCCTATCTCCCCTTGGACCATCACCCCTCCATGGCACACCCGGCTCCTGTGTCCACTACAATCATTAGCTTCATTTCATCTGGTGATCTCTTCCCCCGTGACAGCCTCCAAGCTCAGTATCCCAACCCTGCACAGCTTGCTTCTGCGTCCTTTCTAAAATCCACAAACGGGACTGCCCAGGCAGACCCATACTTTCTGCCTGCTCTTGCCCCACAGAACTCTCCTCATCCCACCTCGACTCGATTTTTTTCTCCCCTTGTCCAGTCCCTTCCTACTTACATCCGTGGTTCCTCTGACACTTTGTCAGTTTCAGAACTTCTACTTTGTGGGCTCCAGCCACCTCCTCTTTACCATGGACATGCAATCCCTTTACACATCCGTCCCCCGTCAGGAGAGTCTCAAGGCTCTCCGCTTCTTCTTGCAAAAAGGCCTGAACCGCCCCCACCCACCACCACTCTCCTCTGCTTCTCCTCACCCTGAACAACTTCTCTTTTAACTTCTCTCAGTTTCTTCAGGTCAGAGGGGTGGCCATGGGTATCCGCATGGGTCCCAGTGATGCCAGTCTCTTTGTGAAGTATTGGGAACATTCCTTGTTGCAGCCCTATTCCGGCCCCTACCCACAACTCTCTCTCTGATACAATCGGTGCTGCTTCTCTCTCTTGTCCACAATTGAAAGGGTTTATTTATTTCGCTTTCAATTTCCACCCCACTATCACCTTCATGTGATCCATCTCGTGCAGAACTCAGTCTGCCAGACAACAACAGCTCCACCCTTATCGGCCTGTAATGATAACCCTGCTTTCTCTCCACAGTTGCTGGAAAAACTCAGCAGGCATGGCAGCAATTTCTGTTTTGTTCGTAATTGCCAGCATCCGCGGTTCTTTTGGTTTTGTTCTGGTCCTCCCTTCCTCGACATCTCCATTTCTGGAGATAGGCTGGCCACCAATACCCACTACAAATCCACCGACCCCCACGGTTACCTTGGCTCTACATCCTCCCACCCTACTTCCTGTAAAAATCCCTATTCCATTCTCCAAGTTCCTCCATCCCCGTCACATCTGCTCTGATGATGCCTCTCAGTCTTTTCCGCTCCAAAGGAAACAACCCAAGCCAATCCAGCCTCTCTTCATAGCTGAAATGCTCCATCCCAGGCAATATTCTGATGAAGATACAGTAAGAACTGCCGTTATCAATAGCCTGATGAATCTGCTTTGCACCCCCTCCAATGTAATCATATCCTTCCTTTAGTGTGGTGACTAGGACTGCCTAACTGAGGTTCTGTACAGTTCCAACATGTCCTCCCTGCTCCTATAATCTATGCCACCTCTGTGCATCAAATGCATCAGATCGAGTATAAATCACATTGAAATGGAAATCTATACATTCCAAACAAAAAAAGCAGAGGAAAGATGCTAATAACAGAGAATATGCTCCGTACGTAGTAGGGTTTCCAGCATCTCCAAGAGAAACAAAATGAGATTAAAAGTAAAATAGTACAGTGCTGGAAATACAGAAACCCATTGGAAACACATAGAAGACGCATCAGTATCTGCAGCACAGTCAGTTCATTGTAGAGATTCACTGCAGCACCAGAGCGAAGAAATAGGCTAGCGTGAATGGTACAGGATTCTCCACAGTTCAAAGCTGCTTCTTATCTTTTGTCACCATTAAAGGTGGCCTTATTGAAATAAAAGATGCTTAAGTGGCTTGACAGTTGGATGTGGAAAGGTCTTTTCCCCTTGGGAGAGTCTAAAACCGGCAGCATAAAATCACAGAATAAGGGGTCACATACGAAGATGAGGAGGAACTTCTTCTGTCAGAGAATAGCCAGTCTGTGGAATTCTTCAACACAGAGGGCTGTTGACACTGGACCATTAAGTATGTTCAAGGGTAGGATAGAGAAATATTTAATTAGTAAGTAAATGAAAATGTGGAAAATGCAGCAAAATGGAGATGAGGATTCTTTGCAAACTCAGTAGCTCAAATAGCTTACTTCTGCTGCTACAACCTATGGTTTGATTTGCATAGTCACATCCAGTATAGACAAGGTGTTGTCCCTCAGTCCCCCTTCTTCATTATTGACACATAGCCACTTGTTAACACCTGTATGGGAGACTGGGATCAGCTTGTGCAGTTTGATTTAATCGGAACACTTTTTGCTTCTGAAGTAAATTGGTTCTGGACTCAAACCCCATTCTGGACTTAATTGCTGATTGCAACACTGAGGAAGTGCTTCATTGTTAAAGGTGCTGTAATTTAAATAAAGCTTGAACTTGAGGGTTGTCAGTATTTTTCAGATGAAAGTAAAACATATTTTGACATTATTGGAAGAACACAGATACTTTCACAGGACCACAGACAACTCTCTCCTAGCAAACACTCCTACAGAGGTTATTATCAAATTGATGTTCAGGTGTGAGCCGACTGTGTGAAAGTTACAGCTGCAAATTGCATTTATTCCAAAATTTCAAAAGACTTTTATTGACTACTTTACAAGATGATGAGAGGCATAGACAGAGTGGATGGTCAGAGACTTTTTCCCAGGGCGGAAATGACTATTATGACGGGGCATAATTTTAAGGTGATTGGAGGAAGATATCATAAATCATAGAATCCCTACAGTGTGGAAACAGGCCCTTCAGCCCAACAAGTCCACACTGACCCTCAGAGCATCCCACCCAGAACCCATCCCCCTTTACCATACATCCTTGAACATTATGGGCAATTTAGCATGGCCAATCCACCTAGCCTGCACAGCTTTGGACTGCAGGAGGAAACAGGAGCACCCGGAGGAAACCCGCACAACGTGCAAACTCCATACAGACAGTCGCCTGAGGCTGGAATAGAACCCAGGTCCCTGGTGCTGTGAGGCAGCAGTGCTAACCACTGAGCCACCATGCCATGCCATATAGGGGAGATGTCAGAGGTTGGTTCTTTACACAGAGTGGTGGGCATGTGGAACGTGCTGCCGGCAGTGGTAGTGGAGTCAGATACATCAGAGACTTTTAATCAACTCTTGGATAAGCACATGGATGATAATATAATGTAGGGTATACAGGGTAGTTTGATCTTAGCAGGATAATAGGTCAGCACAACATCGTGGGCTGAAGGGCCTGTACTGTTCTATGTTCTATTAGAGATAACACATTGTGGAGCTGGAGTAACAGGTAGCATCAAAGGAGCCGGGAAGTGGGCATTTCAAGTCGGGACCCTTATTATACCCTTTATGGTCTTCTGAAGTGATAAATGACACGATAAAATTGGAAGTTCTTTTCTTACCTCACTTTTCTAGCCTCGTTCTTCACCCCTTCCATTCCCTCATCTATGCTCTTAATATTGTGGTAGTGTAATTGGATTAGTCATCCAGAAGCACAGGTGAATACTCTGAGGATGCAGGCCCCAATCCCAAAGGGCAACTGATAGTATTGAATCCCATCAGTTAATAAATTCACTTGA